CAAATTAATCCCAGAGGCTGCCTCCTGGTTGAATAGTCTCCTAGGCTGGGCTCTTCTCATTAGCACTTGGATGCAGCCTGCAGCCCCTCCTTCATCTGCCCCAGTCAGTGGTGGAGCAGCTCTGTTGCTTACTCCCTTACTAATTATGGGTGGCAGCTGTGCCAGTTTGTTTGGCACAAGAGCCAGGCAAGATGTTGGCGACTGCACTTGATCACAAAGGGGAGTAGAGCAAGCTGGGGAGTAGATCTGATGTTCGAGTGGATGGTGGCAACAGGCAGCACAGTAGGGCAGGAAGGTCCAGGGTGGGGTGGCTCCTGAGCTACAACAAATGTGCTCTCTTCCCTCCCTCTGACCACACAGAAAACCCAGTTACAGGGGTGTCAGGCAGCCACATTTGCCTGCCCTACCATGACCACCAAGCCTGTCTTACTAAAGCAAATAGCACTTGAGACAGCATGTAGATGCCCAGCGCCATGCACGCCCCCTCCCTGAGCCTGTGCCACCTCCTCAGCCACATCTCAGGAGGTTTTTAAAAATTTTTAGAAGTATTTTATTGTTGTTGCTGCTGTTACTCCCACTAAGCCCTCCAGCTCACAAGCCAGCCGAATTAAGGTGGTACAGCAGACTTCACTCCTGGCTTTCTTGGATTATGGGTGGTTGATTTAGAGACCTCGACATGCATTTATGTGATATAAGTGTTTATCTGTCCCTTCACAAGGAAAGTAGTGGAAGCATCTCAAAAGTGATGTTCAACAAGATTGTACAAAGTACCTGAACGTATGTGCCTCTGTGACAGGATCCCTAGTCGTCTTCTCTTCACCACTTCCTTGATTCATCATTGGCTTTCTCTACCTTTTGTGAACTCCAAAAGTTTTACTCGAAAGACAGACAAATAAAGGCTTTTTTTGTACATCCGGAAACGTTCCAGGGTGATCGGTGTTTGAAAAGAGGTTTTGGATGCATTTTATGTTATAAATCTGTTAGCCATTGTGCTGGATAGACAGAGTGTTTCAAACTTCGGAGAAAGGAGAAGAAAAAGAGTTGGGGCAAGGAATTGTGAGACGGTTGAATTTGAGGGAGTTGGTTTGAATGGAAGATAAAAGGAGATTTTGAGGGCTCATCTAGGATCGAATCAATGCCTCAGTAGGGTTCATCCCGGTTGGTGTGGCAGAGCCTTGGGTTTGTACCAGCGTTGTAGCTTTCCTCTGCAGGAATAAAATGCTTAGCTAATCTTACAAGTAAAAAAAAAAAAAAGTTGATTTCCTTTTTTTGGTTCAGAAAAATATTGGGTATTTTGCAGATCGTCTGAATATAACTTTTGAACTCTTTATAGCTAATCCATCACAATCATCCTCATGCAGTGTTTCCTCAGATATGTCATTACAACAAAATCAATCCAAAACCATTAGTCATAATAGTTACATATTTCATTTTTACATAGTGGAACAAAGTCATTTTAAAACTTCTGAGTCATTCTGCATTATCAAGATTTATCACAGCTTGCCTGGACGCTTATACAATGATTTTATTTGCAGCACAATTATGCTATTGTTTTTACTCAACATTAAAGTGTATACAAGTTTTGCACCTGCTGTGTTTCTTGGGAATCGTCATGGTGAATTTCGTATGATAAGAATCAGTGTAATTTTTTATATAATTGCTTACTTTAGTATTTTATCCAGAGTAACATCTAAGCTATAAAAACCCAGTTGTTGGGGCACAGTACAGTGGATTGGCAAGCATGCATCAGAAACTAGTTTTCAGAAATCATCAGAGGACAATCTGTAAGAAAGATGCAAATAGTAGAGAGTAACTGTATTGGCCAGACATTCTCCTTACCTAATGCATTAGAAAGTGGTGATTAGTACTATTTCTGCTGTTGCTTAGACATCCTTTCACAGCACATGAAATGCAAGCCGTTTCCTTTCTTTTTAGTAAGAACATTTTAATACTGTATCTGAAAAACTCTGATCAAAGAAATATTCTATTTTGTGCATTATCTTTAACTGCAAAAACAATACGTTTTCACATCTATGACCATGAAATGGTTTACATGCAACAGTGATAGACTCCCGTGTCTGCATACGACCAAAGGATGGTTGGGTCTCGCTTCTTCTTTCCTAACATAGCTTACTTGCAGAGGTCCAGCATTTTTTTTCAGCCTCTGTGATCGCAGCTAGAGAAGAATTTGGGGAGGATCGCTGCTTTACAGTCAGTGCAGAAGTACAGCAAGATTTAGCCATCGAGAATAGGGAGGGTGGAGCCAGAACTTGTTTATGGAATATTTCTTTCCTGCATACACGCAGACGTGTTCCCAGTAGTTGTGACCTTTCTGGGTTGTTTTTTTGTTTTTTAATTGAGCGAGCGCCTGTTATCATGTCTAACTTCATAGCGTGTGAGAAAACCAAGGCTGGCCTGTCTCCCACAGGTCTGGCCTGGCCTTGTTAACAGATTACAGCATTCCACTTGTTAGTACCAGCCACACAGGAGAAGCTTTTTATTATTATGCTACCAGGCTGTGATAAAGCAGGCAGTCTTTTTATGGTAGTTAAGTCCTCAAAGTGACAGTTCATGTTTTGACGATAAGGAGACAGCTCTGGATGTCAACCCATAGACTTGGATTTATCTGTAATAGTCAACCAGAGCTTTAAGTTCCCTCCACAATGACAGGAGCCCTATCTGGAGTGAGGGTTTCCAGAATCTTAAACTGGAGATACTGAGGCCTTTTCCTTCCTCATGAGTCCACGCTGGGTTAACCCCATTGTTATCTGAATAAAAATAACTATTACAAAGAAGGCAGATACTTTTTTTTTTTTTTTTTTGCCTAATATATGCACTTTACATGAATATTTTGTGTTTAATTTATAAACTTCATTCAGGGGAGAAGGCAGAAGGGTTAGAAGGCTGAGGAAATAGAAATACACTTTAAAGATTTCATTTAAACCGTGTTGATGATTTTGAGCATTACAGTATGAAATTCCTAGGTTTTGTCTGTCATTCTTGCTAATGGAATATTTGGAAAATAATTTGAAATACAGACATGTCGCAGTATTTTAAATGGAGTATAGGGTCTAGGTTGGAGCTTGCATGGCTATCTAATTTATAGTTTTTTCAAGGCTTTCTCTTTCTAACTGGCTATTTCATGCTCCCCTATATTATGGCAGAATATAGTTGCAGTTTCTAAAGGTGGGCAGAGCACCGTTTGTGTATTCTGCAGCTGACGCCCCTATAAAGCAAGACCTAGTCCAGTGCTAATTATAGAAGTCTATAGATTATAAAGCTTCAGTGTAATCCAGATTATACAGTGTTAACATTTTCCCTGCTGATATCAAAGTGTAGAGGACTGGCAGCCTGAACTTGTTGAGAAGGGCTGGGAGGGATAACAGCCTCCGACCTTCAGAGTCCTAAACAGCAGGTCCTTGTATGGCTAAGTCCATATAAGTGTCCACCTGATTGGTTAGACCAGGAGAGATCAGCGCTGTGACAGGTGTTAGAGAAAGCTACACCTGTTTTCCCCATATGCTGATTTAGTGATTGCATTTTTGTGGGAGTTCCAGACACTGTGTGTGGGATACACAGCACATGCCAAGTAACATGAGAAGGAATTATATCTTGCTAATGATGACCTGTGATCTTTAAGGATTTCATATAGTATAACTGAATTTTGTGGAGTGCTGCATTAATGTTTAGAAGTGAAGTTAAGTGGTGGATTTATTGCTTGCTCACACACAGATGCTGCGTAAAGCTGGATTTATACATTTATTCATCTGGAAACTAGAAAATAACATGTATGAAAAAATCATGGGATTGATATTTTTTCATTTTAAAACGCTCGTTTTTGACCAGAAACTCGGAGTCCTATGAACTTACTTGAGAGAGTTGATGAATGCAATTAGTGCTGTGCAGAATATCAGAGCCCGGATTCTGATTCCATGCAGGGGGGTTAGACTAAATCCACTCAAATTTAACAATACTTTGTCAGTTTGAATTAAAATGCCCTTTGACCCAATCCTTTCTTCAAGCCTTTACATTTTACATTTTTAAATGTGTATGAAATGTATATATTTTATATTTTCCTTTTGAAAAAAATCATATTAACATTAGTCTGTCTCTGTATGTACAAAACATTCATCTTCTGTTGAAAACAAACCAGAAACAAAGTAGCTTGTTCTGTTTTTTAACTGATAAGTAAAAAAAAAAAAAAAAACAAACAAAACTTTGCAGTGTTCAAGGTCAAGATGTGCAGTTCAAAATCCTACATTTTGATTGCTAATTTTCAGTACCCTTTTTTGTTTGTAATATTCTGTGCAACACTCATTTTCACATTTATTATACAGAGTTTCTGAAGTTTTTCCCCTATTAACTCATCAACCAATGCATTAAATAATAAATTAATTTGGAAGTTTTACTCATTGGCTTCTACAAAATTAATCTTACTGCTTCCACGTGAGAATATACAATCTGAGGCATCAGGTTTGCTATGTTATTAATACAAAGGCAGTGATTTATTTTGGCATAACTTTGGCTTTACAGAGTATACTGTGAGACCAAGGATTTTTTGTGATATCTTTTATTGGATCAGCAGTATAGTTGGGAGAGCTGCAGGATAACTTTTGGGCATCAAGTGCCCTTCCTCAGGGTATATTAGTATATAAGAAATTGCTGCCCTGAATGCTTGTGCTGGAAGAGGGAAGCACCTGTTTTAATACCACTGAAGACTCAAAAATGTTTGTCTTTGTTCGGGCCAGGACACTAGTATCAGACTGCTTAATTACATCAGCAAATACCTGAAACCCCAGGTTTCTCTGGGAGCCAAAGTGGTGCCTCTGAATGGACCTTCTGTCTTGGTGCCCTATGCCCAGCTGGTTTTATAAGTCAGTCTGCTAAAAGTGGGGTGGCATCTGTGAGAGTATTATAGTTTCAGTGGCTCTGAATATGATTAACAAAAAGTCTTGGCAAGTTAGTATTATCTGTGTGTGAATTTTCCAATTGTATTTCAGACCTTAAGAAAGAAAGGCCTTAATGGTTGTGAGAGCCCTGATGCTGACGATTACTTTGAGCAAAGTCCACTATCGGAGGACAGATTCAGCAAACTAAATGAAGATAGTGATTTTATTTTCAAGCGAGGCCCTGTAAGTACTTTTATTTTATCTCTACTTTTTATTTGTTGATCCTTTTTATTAACTTCATTATTTAGGCTCTGAACAAGAAAGAACACAGAGGGTGCGACAGCCCAGACCCTGACACTTCATATGTGCTTACACCACATACAGAAGAAAAATATAAAAAAATTAACGAAGAGTTTGATAATATGATGCGGAATCATAAAATCGCAGTGAGTACTAAAGTATGGCTTGTGCTTTTATCATGTGCATGAGACCTTTCACAATGTTTGCCTATTATCGAATAGCAATTCATAGTAAAGATAAGTTTGTTTAATTGTGTATGTTGTAGAAATACTTTTTCTTTGTGTTTGGGTGAATGACATGGGGAAAAATATGGATGTTACATGATATTTCCATAGAAGTTAAAAGATCTTATTTGGGAGTGGTCTGTAGTTCTTCCTCTGTGCTCCTGAATTTTAATATTTCTGAGTAATCTTCCTAACACTGAGGAACCCACCTATGCTTTTTGGTGTAAGACCTGTGTGGAGATCATTCTTTTATTTATTTCTTTTTACATTTATTTAGAGCACATTGAATTACAGCAAATGGAAAATAGGTTGCAAACATGAATCAGGTCCCATCTTGTGTTATTGCTGGGCTCCCCCTGCACCAGCAAGAAGCAAGTTTCTACAGCTTCAGTTCAGCTGAGGGACTCCCAGCCGTGGGGCGCCCTATGCACCCCCATGGCTGAGACCACTGCTACACACCATGTACCCCTGCATCTAGAAGACAGCAGCTGCTATGATCTTCTAGTCACTGGGATGCATGCACAGGCCGCCACAGCTGGGAGCTCCGATCAGCTGATGAGGTTCCCACTCCCCAGCCACTAGAGCACAGTCTACCCATGCAAATTAAAGCTGGATAGAAACCAGCTGTAAAGTTTATTACACATTTTCCAGCAATAACTTTATAGCTAGTTAAACCTTTTTGACGCACAGTAGTTAATTTGCATGTTTAGCCAGTGCAAATTTATTGTGCAGTTAACCAGGTAATTGTGTTAATGCATGTAATGTGTAGAGGGGGTCTATGGCACTTAGTCACCTTTGAAAATTTTAACTAGTACATTGTCAGAAGATTGCAGTCTGTTTGGCAGTTATCAAATCCAAAAACGCACCCATTTGTGGCCTGCACCCTCTCATCAATACCAACATGATTGCATCTGCTGTCAGTTTTGTAACCAGCTAAGTCTGATGGCTTTGGATTCCATGGCGTAGGAGGGAAGATGTTGGTGGAGCATGGCTCTTGAAGAGGATCTGTGGGGTCCCAAGATTCTCAAAGATTAGGCACTACTTGCTTTAGTTGTAGGTGTACAATCATAGGCTGAGTACTTTTAGAAGTTAATTGTTGTTTACAAAATTAACTAGTAGGAGCTATTCCAGGGAAAGGAATTCTTCCTAATAAAAATTAATGGTGAGCTCTGCTGTCTTCTTCCACTTGCAGATCATTTGATCTCTTGTAATAATTACAAATAGACTGGTTACGTTTTTTAGTCTGCACAGAACCCGAGGTAACTGAATGGTGTAATGCAGGGCTGTCCAACTTCTAAGTAGCTAGCTGCTGCACGTCCCACTGGCTGCACAAGTGAGGGCTGCACACTGCAGGGTCTACACCAGTGGGGACCAGGCGGCCTAGGCTGCTTACCATATGGGCAGCCTCCTATATATGTATATGTGGCCTTGGTCACACCCTCAGTTCCCAATGCCACGCTGCACTGCACCACCCCCAAGGGCAGTTTCAGAAAGCAGAAGCCTGAGGAGGGAAGGGAACCCTGGAGACCCCAGCTGCTGTAGCAGCTGGATTGATAAGGGGAACAGCAGCCAAGCAGGAGTCCATGGGTCACAACTTTAACACGTTATGGGCTGCCCGTTGGATAGCCCTGTGTAGTGCACAAGGATGGCCTCTAGTCCCTGTCCGCCCCCGTTTGTCGTCCCCGTTGTCATCATCGCACCCCCCCGCCCCGGGTCTCTCCAGTGGTGGAAGTGGTTCATCTGTTTAGAGCAGCAGGACCTTTGGAGGAGAATAAAACAAGCTGTTAGTCTTAATATGCCACATCCATTCTTTCAACAGACTCTTTATACTTTGGATGCAGGCAGCATATTTTTTTTCTACTTGCTAGTTAAAATCATCTAGAATTTGCATCCTTTTGGGCTTGAACTTGAATTGCAGTGGTAGTTCTTCAGACTATCTTAAAACTTGTGATACTCTGACAATATGTTAGGTCATCTTCTCCAAGTCAAGCTCCCAGAAATCTTTGGATATGCTCCCTCTGGGTGTCCTCCTCTAGCAGAAATGTGTTTTTGCGGGTGACTTCTGGTTCCCTTGGATGCCAAGAATTCTAGGCCTGGAAGTTCCTGTGAATAATGAGGATTGCATTACATTTTTAAGCTTTACAATTTCTTAAATATGTGGTTTAAATTCTAACTGTTACATTTTCCATTTGATGTCCATGGATCATATGAAAAAAGTAGTCTCTTATTCTTTATGAAAGACTTTGTTGATTGTGGTCAAAGGATAGGAACAACCCAATGTCTGGAATAGGTAATCATAATTGAATGCCTACTTCTACATGGCTTGGTAGCCTGAAATATGCATCCTCATTGAGGCAATAAAAGCTGCCATTGTTAAGGGCTTCTACACAGCAAGAAACCTATAAAAGAATATTGATGTTCATTGCCTTTCTTACCTTATTTCATATGCTGAAAGTGCTTACAGTGTATTATACATCTAAACTTTTAGAAGAAAAATGAGTATGTTTGTTATGGATATTAAAAAGTTTCGTGAGGTGTCTTCCATATAAATATAAAAATGTCATTCGTGCAGCTTGTTGTTAGATAAATGATTAGAGAAGAAGAGTGATCTCTTAATAGCAGCACTTTTATTTTATTACAGTAGAAGTCAGTACACCCATCTGTACCAAAAAGTAACGTTCTTTCCCGATCTTCTAGGATTAAATTAATCTACATACTGTTGTTAAGGTCTTGTTGCTAAGACTTTTATAAGACGTAGCACGGTACATTCACTAGTGTGGTAGTAATTACTGTTGTAAATTTTTTTTTTTTAATTGCAGCCAAAAAAACAAGCCAGATATTTTATGCTATTATTTATTTTTAAATTATTTTAAGACATCAGTTACTTGAGACATTTGTGATAGACCTGCTATTTATTAATGAAAATGACAGATGTTATATTGTTTATCAAATGTTACTGAAATTTTATTTTTCATTTTCTTGGCATTATCCATTGAGTTGAGGAAAAAAAAATATTTTTAAAGGAATGGAAGATTTTTTTTTTTAGATTATTCCTTTAAAATCATTAAAAAAAACCCCAATGTTTTGGAAAACAGAGATATTCAATTTTGTATTGTTAAAGATTATTAAACATTAAATGTTCTTGTATTGGGAGTGAATATAACTAAGTAAGGACTCCGGCCAGAATTGCTACAGTCAACTAATCAGTGTGTAAAATAAAAGATTTACGGAACTTTATTAATAGCCTGGCAGATAATTTGACATCATTATAAAATGTATTATTTTTGGTTGATGCACTGATTAAAAAGCCATTTCCTTGATTTTGGAATAAATCTGATTCGCTTCAGAATTTCTCACCTGAAAAAAAAAAAAAAAAAAAGGCTTAAATTTACTTGTATCTTATGTGGTAATATTTTAATTTCAGTATTAAGACTGTCAAAGCAATGTGTCACTACTAACTTTTATTTTTTTTATCTCATAACCGACTCACTATTTTGTTTTATAATGTGCATGTTTGTGTATGCTTACATTTTGGGGATGCAACAATTTGTTCATTGAATACAAAAAATTTAGAGCTTGTCAACTGACTTTCTAGTAATAATAATCAACTAATAAATCCAGCATACATAAGTGAACGTTAGTTGATGAATATTGATAAAATATCTCCAGCCATGTTTTACAAACCTAAGCTCTCAGTACCTTCTAAGTTGATAGTAAATAAGCCTGTTGAAAGAGATCTCTAGCAAGTACTGTGGTTCTTGATGCCTGTCTTTGTAAAGCGTGGGTGTTTTATAATTGTACATTTAGTGATCACAGATTACAAAACTAACATAATTTAACCCGTACATTTTTAATCTGAATGTTATAGCCTTGGCAAACATCAGTATACAGTTATTTACGTGACAATTCTAGAAATATAATTAATGCTAACGTAAAACTTCTTTTTGTTTTCAGCCTGGCTTACCTCCCCAAAACTTTTCAATGTCCGTTACGGTTCCAGTGTCCAATCCCAATACTTTAACCTACAGTAACCCAGGGAGTTCCCTTGTTTCCCCATCACTGGCAGCCAGTTCATCGCTAACAGACACGACCATGCTCTCACCACCTCAGGCCACGTTGCATCGGAACGTATCACCTGGTGCCCCTCAGAGACCACCGAGTACTGGCAACACAGGTGAGATTTCAGTAATGCTACACTTCCCCTTTTCCCTTTTTTTTCGAATGAAATTTGATTTATATTCATAGATGCTAGGGTCGAAAGGGACCTCAGCAGATCATCGAGTCCAACTCCCTGCCTAGGCAGGAAAGAGCGCTGGGGTCAGATGCCTATAAAGCCGGGGTCAGATGACCCCAGCCAGATGTCTATCCAACCTTCTCTTGAAGACTCCCAGGGTAGGGGAGAGCACCACCTTCTTTGGGAGCCCGTTTCAAATTTTGGCCACCCTTACTGTGTAGACTTTTTTCCTGATATCTAGCTTAAATCTGCTCTCAGGTCAGTTTGTGACCATTGTTCCTTGTTACCCCAAAAGGTGCCCTGGTAAACAGAGCCTCTTCGATCCCTTGCTGTGCCCCCCTAATGAATTTGTAGGCGGACACAAGATCCCTTGTGAAGGGTGAAGAGGTCCAGGTCCCTCAGTCTCTCCTCATAGGGCTTGTCCTGCAAGCCCCTAACCATGAGTGGCTTCCTCTGGACCCTCTCAAGTCTATCAACATCCTTCTTGAAGTACGGCGCTCACACCTGGATGCAGTCCTCCAACTGTGGTCTGACCAATGCCGCAGGGGGGAAGTATCGCCTCCTTGGATCTATTTGTCATGCATCTGCTGATGCATGATAAAGTGCGGTTAGCTTTGCTGATGATTTCATCACACTGACGACTCATGTTCATGTTATATGAGAGACTAACTAGTCTACTGTAATTGTGACTTTTCATATGGAAAAGAGTATTTTAATCTGATAGAATGATGTTATCTGAATAAAAAAATCTCTGAATTTGTCTTTTCTCTGTTAATGTTATTAGGTGGCATGCTGGGGACTACTGATCTCTCGGTGCCAAACGGAGCTGGTACTAGTCCAGTTGGTAAGTACAGTACCATGTTTATTTCAACTTGTGTTGAACATTTGTGTGCAGTCACTTAAGTCAAAAGTGTGGTTATATAAAAGCAAAGATAAGCCAATGGACTGATTTGTATTCTCTGTGTTTAAATCCCCTCCTCCCCCCACAAACTTTGTCTTTTAAATAAGTACATTTTGCAAAAATGTTGTACAGTAAAGGCTATGTTTAACATCCTTTTCCTCAGTAACAGATAATTACCAGTATTTTCACTTTTTATGGCCTTTGGTTTCAGTAGTGTTTGCTGCTTTTGCAAAATGTTTCTCATGTCCCTTTCTCAAGAAAATAAATTTAAAAACCTGCATTGAAGTCCTACATTTTTCTTTGGCAGAAGCTCCTAGGTAGCTCCATAGAAGCAATGTGCCCCAAATTAGTATTTTAATAGCAAATACTATTATAAGGACTTGTATAACAATGTGTTTCTTGCTTTAGTAAAATGCACTACAGTACATTTGTTAATCTGTTGTGCTAAAGAAAATGAAATTGCAGGTGTACCCAACATGCTTTCACATGTGTGACAATGTCCTTCTCATAATTGGTACCAAGGTCAATACTGGCAATTTTATCTCGCTGTTCAGGGTGTTGTAGTCATCTCCTTCTGTTGATTTTTTTCCAAGTGAGAGAATGAAAGTTTGGAATACTGTGTTTATCTTGGATGACTGAGGATTTCTGCTTCTGAGGAAGTTGTTAAAGAACAATTGCGACTGTCCTTCAGAATGTCAGGTTCACCAGTTTTGTATATGTTGACTGCGTGTTGTCCATAAATGCCAGAACTTGCAGAATTCCTTCATTTAAATAACTCCAGTGTGATGTAAGCAGACTTCAGATTATGCAGCAAGTGTGGAGACATCTGTATTGCATTCTACCACATTACAAGAAAGCAACCTAAGCATCAAGTACCCAGCCCCCTTATGTATTCTCCCCCTCGCTCCACATCCCTTCACCTCAAGATGACAGGGTGGCTGGGAACCAATTTGAGAGTATGCGTGTTTGGTTCTTAAATACGGGTATAGTAAGGAATTATCTGTCAGAGGGAACCATTGTATACAACTTGCCTAGGTAACTAATGCCCAAATATTAATCTGACAATTGGGGAAAACACAGTGATAAAAATCAAAGTTGATTGAGTTCAAAAGTGCAGTATTAATTCTTCTCTTGATAGCTACAAATTAGGCAATATGCAGCAGATGCACAAGTATTATTAGGTGGCTTCTGTTGCAGAAATGGAAACTCAAGAGCTTTTAATAGAGTTCTTTTAGATAGAAAATAAGGAGCAGGGCCTTTCTCAGACATGACTGATCCCAGATGTCAGTTTCAAGTTGTTCAGTGATTAGCTCATTAAGAAAATTATCTCCCAATAAACGAGTGATTTGAATGTAATTCAGTGCCTTTTTTTTTCCAAAATGAGACCCTTTATTTTGGAACCTCAAGTTCTGAAGCCTCATTCTTCCAGTAAGCTAAAAAGCATAGTTATTGAAAACCAAGGTTCCTGTCTGATAGTTGGGCACTGCTTCTAGAGTATTGTCAATGCTATTTGTGTGCATTAAAAATTACTTTTAAGGAAAAGCAATAATAATGTATTACAGTGCTGCATATTGGTACAGCAACTTCATGAACATTATTAGCATCAAAATGTTTTTCTGCTCCATCATCAAATGAACATTTTAAGAGCTGATGTGTGGAAACAAATTAGGTGGTCTTCATCCTTTGGTTTTCAGAATATTACCTTCTCCCATTACCCATTTTCATCCAGATATCAGTTGCAACAGGACAACTCTTGTGGTTATAGGGGATTTGCAAGATGCATCTCCAGCAGAACTTCAGAAACATTCAGAAGATGCCATTTCACTGAGCCACTAGTGCACAAACTCTGCCAGGATGATATGACTTGCTTATATGCTTTTGAAATGGAGTGGCAGGTGTGAATTAACCTTCCCTGTCCCACAGTTCTCAGTTGCAGCCCCAAACCCAAACGTCAAATTACTAGTGTATAAGCAGATTCACTTTACTTGCTAACGTGTCACTTAAAGTTTGGGTAGATATAATTAAGGATGAAATATGACAAGGTGATAATATCCATTAATTCAAAGTCTTTTCCAGTGGTTATTGATAATTGATATGTTTTTCTAAAGAAGTTTTAGTTACAGTATTTCCAAAAGCTCTGTTTCTTAGGTGGTTGCAAAAGGCTGTGATGGGTTACATTTATGTATGGTCACTTATTTATTTGGCAACTTGTAAGGTTAATCCTTGTGCCTGTATATTTAAGGTCTCAATTCACCCGAGGGCTAAACATAGAATGGCTGTACATTTATTTCACAGTTTCCCCTCGCATTTTGTAGAACTTCATTGGAAGTGATGTGGTGTGCCTTAGTAAGTAACCTGTCCATTTCAGGGTACAGCTCTAGGCATGTAAAATTAAATTTTATGGAAAATAGCTTATTAACAGACCAATAAAAATATCACTAGTTAGTTGATGTAGTATAGAATACTGAGTGGGTTTAATGTTTGGGCTGAGGAATTTTACAACCATTTTGTAAAACTGATGGTTGATAAAACATATAGTAGTATTTATGGTTAGGATTGAATGAATGTTCTCATTTTACAGACGCTTCTGATTTTACCAACATTTTATTTTCCATCCTAAAATTTAGCGACATCCAAGAAAAAAATTTTAGTCTCAGCAAATATGTTTTACCAGAAAAGAATGGAAGAAATCTAATTTGGCAGGCGCATAGTGGTGAGATGGCAGATGTGGCTTTCAGTGGTGCAGTGAAAAGTTTTCAATGGTCAGTGTTATAAAAAGTGTTATGGTGGTGTAGCCATGGTGGTCAAGGAAAAATTCAAGAGGCAAGATTTTTTTTGAGGCCATTTGATTAACTTTATAGTGGGAAAGATAGGTAAGATATAGCTAAATCTTCAAGGCCTTTCTCAGACCTTGCCTGTATGAAGTAGTGTTTTGCATGCTCACTGGCTAGCTGTTACTGTTTAACAAAAGCCTGTCGTTTTAGAGTTGGCACAGTGTATGTGTGTATTTAAGTGAAGTGGAGAAATCTGTTGAATAGGTTTGATTGGCTAAAATTAGGTGGTCTCAGCTTAACCAGGACTTAGGCAAGAGTGAGACACCTACCTTTTGAAGAACAATTCACATTTGACTTGTACATCTATAGCAGTGGGAGCCACCTTTTGGCAAGCATGCTACAAATTGGCCCCACACTGTCCCTGAGTGCCACTCCAACCATCTTCCCTTGCTCTATCTGCTGCTGTGCTTTCTGCCCCTTGCCCTATCTGTTGCTGTGCTACCTGTCCCCTTTCCAATCTGCTGTGCGCCACACAGAGGCTGCCCATGTCATTTATGGCATGATGGGTTGGCCACCCATTATGTATAGAGTGCCCAGCATTGCATTAAGTAGCTCTGGTCCCCACCCATTCCCTTGTGTAAGAATACTACATTCTGTCCATGCTTGCATTGAGCTCTGTGCTGCATGCACGAGCTCTTCAGGTCTTTCACATGCATCGGAGCAGGTGCAGTGCTTCATAACAGCGGCTGGTCGGCAAAATTCTTTTGTTTTTAATGATGCACAGCAATGAAGCCCAAATAGTATTGACCAGGATGTTGTTGAAAGACTCCTCATAATCAAACTAGACAAAATAAGACTTTACTTTTACACTGGAGATGGCCATTTGTGGTTTTCTGCAGCCCCAGAATGAAAGGACCGTTTCTAAATTTTTCTTGGGGAAACTGAGATTATCGTCTGGAGCTAAGAAGAGGAATTAGGATCAGCAGCCAAAAAGACACTTCTTGGTACCAGAGTGATCTGTAATCAAAACTTATGATTAATTTAGTGACAAGGTATCTTTAATAGTATTGTTTTTATCCAGTCACAATTTATTGTATGTATTTTAATACTGTAGTGGCCATTTAACACCAAAACTGTATCTTTGTTATAGCAAAGCATTTTAAATGATGGAGCAAATGTTTGATAAGTCTGTAATTTTGGAATGCATTTGAAATCTTGCTTACTTTTCACTCAACAAGCTCTTTAGCCATTAATTGCTATTTAAAGTACTTCCCTTAATAAAAAAAAAAAAGTGAAATGGAGCTGTTTTATTTTTAACCTTCTTAATGTGAAATTTTATGAATGTAGTTTCTATTGACGTACACTTTTAAAGGAGGTAGGTTGCTAGAGAATTCACTGTAGTCAGGATTTCTCATTTTTAAATGCATATTTACTAGTTTTCTATTCAGAGTACTAGATGAATTTGCATTCCTTTAACTGCTTAAAAAAAACAACCCACTCAAAGAGATAATTGAGCTTTTGTTGAGTTTTGAGGGGAGACATCAACCTCTTGTTGCAATTACAGTTCCCAAGCAACAAGAAAGATCCATGATCCTGATTTGACCCTGAACCTGCTAAAGGACAGTAGCACTCTACCCATGGGGTGAGTTATGGAGGATTTGATGAAAAATTACTTTACTCTAACGTCGGCCTTTGACATGATGTTCCCCAGATGATACCTTCCTTTCTGACACCCTTGCACTAGATAAAGGAGCAGAAACTCAAGAACTGATGGTAGAAATGTTTAGACTGATATAGCAGGATGTATCGTACTGAATTTTGCAGAGCCATTAAAGGCTGCTAAATCCCGTCCCATGTTGTTTTCCTCGGGGGGTAAGTGCTTCTTCAGTTCTGACTGCCTACACTGTGCAGAAGAACTAAGCAGCAAGGGCTGCAAAGAACTATCATCCTACTTCCCTGGAGAGATCATGCCCATTGGGGAATGACCTGTACCCATCAACAAGCAACCAATCCACTGTGTTATCAGGAGTTAGTACAGTCCCTGAGCAAGAAGTATTAGAGGCCCTAAGAGAATTGCAACTCAAAACTTGTGCATTTAAATCATGTCCTTCCTGGCTGGTGAGAAAGTCATGAACAACTGGTGCCACTTGTGACTGAAATAGCCAGCAC